CTTTCCCATGTTAGGGAAGTTTTCAGCTATTATCTCTTCAAATATTTTCTCAGGTCCTTTCTGTCTCTCTTCTTCTTTTGGGACCCCTATAATGCGAATGTTGGTGCGTTTAATTAATGATGTCCCAGAGGTCTCTTAGACTGTTTTCATTTCTTTTCATTCTTTTTTATTTATTCTGTTCACACTGTGATTTCCACCATTCTGTCTTCCAGGTCAGTTATCCGTTCTTCTGCCTCACTTATTCTGCTATTGATTCCTTGTAGTGTATTTTTCATTTCAGTTATTGTTCATCTGTTTGTTCTTTAGTTTTCTAGGTCTTTGTTAAACATTTCTTGCATCTTCTCAATCCTTGCCTCCATTCTTTTTCTGAGATCTTAGATCATCTTCACTATCATTATTCTGAATTATTTTTCTGGTAGGTTGGCTATCTCCACTTCTCTTCATTGTTCTTCTGGGATTTCATCTTTTTCCTTCATCTGGGACAAATTCCTCTGCCGTCTCCTTTTGACTGACTTTCTGTGATTGCAGTTTCCATTCCGTAGGCTACAGTATTGTGGTTCTTGCTTCTGCTGGCTGCCCTCTGGTGGATGAGGCTGTCTAAGAGGCTGGCAGGCTTCCTGATGGGTGGGGATGTGTTCCCGTCCTGTTGGTTATTTGGCCTGAGGTGACCCAGCAATGAAGCGTACAGGATGTTTGGTGGGGCTGATGGCTGCCTCCGGGAGGGCTCGTGCTGATGGGTACTCCCCAGAACTGTTGCTGCCAGTGTCTTTGTTCCCGCAGTGAGCCACAGCCGCCCCCTGCCTCTGCAGGTGACCCTCCAATACTAGCAGGAAGGTCTGGCCCAGTCTCTTATGGGGTCACTGCTTTTTTCCCCTTGGTCCTGGTGTGCATGAAATTTTGTGTGTGCCCTCCAGGAGTGGAGTTTCTCTTTCCCCCAGTTCTGTGGAAGTCCTCTGATCAAACCCCGCTGGCCCTCAAAGCCGGATTCTCAGGGGACGACTTCTCCCTTTCCCAGACTCCCAGGTTGGGAAGCCTGTCGTGGGGCTCAGAACTTTCACTCCTGTGGGAGAACTTCTGTGGTATGATTGTTTTCCAGTTGTGGGTCGCCCACCGGCGGGTATGGGATTTGATTTTATCTCGATTGTGCCCCTCCTACTGTCTTGTTGTGGCTTCTTCATCTTTTGATGTAGGGTATCCTTTTTGGTAGGTTCCATCATTTTTTAGTTGATGGTCATTCAGCAATTAGTTGTGATTTTGGCGTTTCCATAAGAAGGGGGTGATCTCTCGTCCTCCTACTCCATCATCTTGAGCTAATCTCCAGGATCTATTCTTATTTAGAATCTATTCTTTTCCACCTTTGGCAGCACTCTTATGCTAATGAAGTTCCCAGAGTTCACTGGTGGACTGTCTCTGTTATCCAAACTCTGTGATCTAATTTGTTTGATTAGGGAGTTAATTCATCCAAAATCATTAGTTGTTGTTGCCTTGGGCTTCACTTCTCACTTAATGATACTTCTTCAGTTCACTCCACTTTGAAAATTGTTCTCACAGAGGGATAAAAAAAGAAAAAAGGAATAATAGATTTACTTTCTTTTGTTAAACAGTATAATAATATCCTAAGCAGTAATTCTAGTTCCTCCATCTCTGCACTTTTGCTTTAGGTTTTTTACAAGTCTTCGGTCATTCCAGATATCTTGCCACAATATTTTAGGTGTCTCTTACCATATTGAATTAGTTTTTACATGTCATTTTGAAAATTTCGTCTTATCAGAGAATTTACTGTGTAGTCCTACATATCTCTTTACTTTCTCATAAAGTTAGTCATATGACTTCTATTTTTTATTTATAGTTCTTGTTCCTTCTTCCATTACAGTTTAATGTAGTGCCTTCAAGAACATAGGTTTTGGAATCAGATATAAATTTGAATTTTAGCTCTGCCTCTTAATGATTTTATGTCCTTGTTAAATTTATAACCCTCTCGGAACTAGTTGATTCATCATAAAAAGGAGGAAAAGAATAATTGCCTTATAAGATTTTGTTGGGATTTTATAAAGTTAATACATTTAAGAAACTTAACATAGTGCCTGGCATTTAACAAGCTGTAAATAAATTGTAGATCTTATTGGAGTTTTCCTGTCTCTAAGGATTTTGAAATCAGCTTTCCTAAAGAGTAGGGCACTTGTCTCACTATGCTTATTGTTCCTTACTTTGAATTATAGACTTTGAGATGCTGCTTCTCATCATTTGTACTCTTACTATTTCGATTTAGGTTCAGAAAAGTGATGCCTTTTTTTTAAACATCTTTATTGAGATAAAATTCACATATATAGTTCACCCATTTAAAATGTACAATTCAATGATTTTTAGTATATGCACAGAGTTATGCATCTGTCATCAGTATCTAATTCCAGAACATTTTCATCACCCCAGAAAGAAACCCCGTGACTATTAGTAGTCATTCTATATTCCTCCCTTCTTCCAGCCCTTGGAAATGTAATCTACTTCCTGTGTCTATGGATTTGCCTATCCTGAACATTACGTATAAATGGAATTCATGCAATATGTGGCATTTTGTGTCTGGCTTCTTTCACTTAGCATAATGTTCTCAACGTTCAGGTATACTTCATTTCTCTGTATGGCCAAATAATATTCCATTCTATGGATATAGCACATTTTTTAAATTAATTGATCAGTTGATGAACAGTTGGGTTGTTTCCACTTTGGGGCTAGTATGAATAATGCTGCTATGAACATTTGTGTACAAGTTTTTGTGTAGACATCTGTTTTCATTTATTTTGAGTATATACTTAGGAGTAATTATGTTTTTAACCTTTCAAGGAACTGTACAGCAGTTGGGAGATTGGGATTGACATATATACACTAATATGTATAAAGTAGATAACTAATAAGAAACTACTGTATAAAATAAATTAATTAAATTAAATTTTAAAAAAAAAGAGTTGGGAGGCCAGAAGGAGGAGCTCTCTCGCCCTACCACTAGTAGTCAGTTGCAGATCCAACAGGAGGAGACATACCTCGCATCTCCAACAGGAAGAGGGTTACTACTGTACTACCACGGCAGAAGGAAGGTTGATTCTCCTTGCAATAACCTTGCCAATGGGAGACTGTCATTACTCAGACAATAAAAAACCACAGCTTCCAATTTGCAGGACTCCAGTGGACTTTTTATTTGTAACAGCCTTCCCAACTCCACCTTCTCCTCTATAAGAGAAACGTTCATCTTCCTTGTTTTGTGGACTTGCCTGTGGTTCACCATGGATTGTGTGCCTCAAATTGCAATTCTTTGATGTTCCCGAATAAACCAGTTCTACTGGTTTAAAAAAAAAAAAAAGGAACTGTACAGCAAAGTGAATCAGCTATATGTATACATACAGCCCCTCTTTTTCAGATTTCCTTCCAGGTTCATTTTTGTTATTGAGGTTTGAGACTTCTTTATGTAATCTGGATTTAGATTCTTTATTTAAATCCTTTATATATATATATTTTTAATTTTATTTTTGCCTGCGTTGGGTCTTTGCTGCATGCGAGCTTTCTCTAGTTGCAGTGAGCGGGGGCTGCTCTTCATTGCGGTGTGTGGGCTTTTCATTGCCGTGGCTTTTCTTGTTGTGGAGCACGGGCTCTAGGCGTGTGGGCTTCAGTAGTTGTGGCACACGGGCTCAGTAGCTGTGGCTCATGGGCTCTAGAGCGCAGGCTCAGCAGTTGTGGCACACGGGCTTAGTTGCTCTGTCACATGTGGGATCTTCCTGGACCAGGGCTCGAACTCGTGTCCCCTGCCTTGGCAGGTGGATTCTTAACCACTGTGCCACCAGGGAAGCCCCCAGTAGATGGTTTGCAAACATTTCTTCACAGCCTGTGGTTTCTCTTTTTGGGTTCATGATACTGTCTTTTGAAGAGAAGTTTTTAATTTTGTTGAAGTCTAATTTATCTTTTTTCTTTTATGGATTGTGCGTTTGGTATTGTAGCTAAGAAATCTTTGCCTACTCAAGGTCACAAAGATTCTCTCCTATATTTCCTTCTAGAAGTTTTATAGCCTTGGGTTTTACATTTAGGTCCATGATTTTGAGTTACCTTTTCATATATGCTTGTTACTGGATTTTTAGTATCATTGTATTGCCTCTAGTTAACTCTCACCCCAAGAATTCAAGAAATTTTTTAAATGAATACATGAACTTAATTTAGTTGGTAAGGTAAGCTCTTAAGGTGAATTTTAAATTATGAGATGAATTTAATACAGATTCTTGCAAAGGATATATTCATAGCTTTTCATAGTTTATTTAATGCTGTAAAATTATCTTCATATTGCCAGTTTCACATATAAGTATTCACAAGTTATAACTGATAAAATGTTAAAATAAAAAGCCAGCATTTACTTTAAATTATAATTTGAATGAAAATAGAAACATTTCTCTGTTGAGAAAATAAAATACGAAATCAGTTTAATATTTTGCAAGCATCAGTAATTAGCAATCTTCCCTCTCAAGACCTTCCTTCCCACTGCTGTTCCTCTTTCTGGACCAGTTACCAGCGTATTTCATTCCTTCTCCAAGTCTTTGTGCAAATGGCACTCGCAGTGAGGCCTTCCCCTGGCCACACTGTTTAAAATTACAGTCCCTCTCCTTTCAGTAGTCCTGGTTCTACTTCCTGCTTTATTTTTCTCATAGCTCTTTTACTGTCCTCTGCATGAATTTTACTTGTCTCCCCTGTCAGAATTTAAGGTCCCTGAGGGCAGTGTTTTGTTTACTGACGTATGTCTGTCACCTAAAATGGTGCCCTAGCATATAGCACGTGCTCAGTACATGTTGAGTTAGTGAATATTAAGTTATATATATTTGTCACAGTGTTAATTTTAAACCTCAGAGTTTCTAATAGGAACATATTAACACAAGAAAATATCTTACAATAAAGTGTTTAAGATCATTTTTTTAAACATTTGCTATAGAAGCCTTTATTTTTATGATTTTTTTAAAAATTATTTGCAGGGCTCAGTTTGGCAAAGACTTGGTGCAGACGTGACAGCAGTTGAGTTTTTGGGTCATGTTGGTGGAATTGGAATTGATATGGAGATATCTAAAAACTTTCAGCGCATCCTTCAAAAACAAGGATTTAAATTTAAATTGAATACCAAAGTTACTGGTGCTACTAGGAAGTCAGATGGAAAAATTGATGTTTCGTAAGTATGCTATATTTGTTTTTGTTATGATACCCTTCTGTGCGTTTCTTTAAGAAAAACATTGTTTTTAGAATCAGATTCTGTAACTTAATACCATTTTACTGTGTAGTATAACTCAGTATTGCTTATCAAGTCAGTCCATTGAAACTCACGATTGCACTGACGATAGAAAAATGAAGCCAGTGTTCTCATTTGTAATGTACTTTTTCATAGTATACCTTCAGAAAAATTTAAACTCTCAACATTCAGTAAAATTAATTGAGTATTTTTAGACAGATGCATGGGGAAATCAGTAATATTACTGATGCACTTGCTTACAGTGTGCTTGGTATTCTGTTTGTTTAACACTGAAGTAACTTGCCTAAGGTCACATAGCTGGTGGGGGTAGAAGCACTACTTGAACTTGGATCTGTCGGACTCTAAGACTTAATGTTCTTAAACTGTGTTATACAGCCTGTTGTTGTGAGGTTCTAATGATCGACCTCTAGAGGATATGTACATTTTTCTTTGCCTGACCCTTACGTTTATATTTATAATAAAATAAACTTACACTGTTAGAGATGTCATCGATACTTGAGAAATGTCTGGTCTTAAATTTCCAAGTCTATCAGCTATTCATGTAGATGTGTGTTTAACAGTTATACACTGTTCATTATCTAGTATTGAAGCTGCTTCTGGTGGTAAAGCTGAAGTTATCACTTGTGATGTACTCCTGGTTTGCATTGGCCGACGACCCTTTACTAAGAATTTGGGACTAGAGGAGCTTGGAATTGAGCTGGATCCTAGAGGTAGAATCCCAGTAAATACCAGATTCCAAACTAAAATTCCAAAGTAAGTTGGATACTTACCTGCATTTTCAATAATTTTAAGCAAACACTATTTTGAAAATAAGGCTTTTGTCATGCTTAAAAAGTACATTGGCTTTGTGGTAGAACAGTAAACTTAAAACATGTAAAAGCAAAAGTAATTAATTGAATTTTTTCACTACCCAGAGATTAGAACCTGAACTCACAGATATTTGAAGAGCTGTATTTGATTTATTTTTTGGTGACTTTATAACTAGAAGCGTGTATTTTGTTACCCTGGTATAACTGTAGATGAGTGTCTGTGATTTCAGAAGTTGACTGTTTCTTTTGATCTCCGTGGCAGTATCTATGCAATCGGCGATGTGGTTGCTGGTCCAATGCTGGCTCACAAAGCAGAGGATGAAGGCATTATCTGTGTTGAAGGGATGGCTGGTGGCGCTGTGCACATTGACTACAATTGTGTACCATCAGTGATTTACACACACCCTGAAGTTGCTTGGGTTGGCAAATCAGAAGAGCAGTTGAAAGAAGAGGTAATTCAGAGTAGTTTTCATCTGATGTGTGATTTGAGTTGACACCAGTGGTTGAGAATCCTTTCATTATTGCATTAATGCATTTTAATAACTATGTAGAACATTATAGGTAAGTTTGCATAATTTTTTACTTTGTGAGTATCTTAAAGGAGATCATTTGGTTGCCTGTATTCAAAAACTAGTAATTCCAGAGCTCTTATATTTGGCTGACATTTGTATTTGCTTGTGTTTGTACCCAAAATATATTTCAATAACAAGCCTTTTGGTCTTTCCTTCTATATGCTTTGTGAAGAATTGCCTTCTTGGGATTTATTTTCTGAAGAAATGGTAGACGCTTTCACCAGATGGGAATGAATTTTTTGATAGCTTATGTACGTTCTCATTTTCTGCTTCTCACAGGGTATTGAGTACAAAGTTGGGAAATTCCCATTTGCTGCTAACAGCAGAGCTAAGACAAATGCTGACACAGATGGCATGGTGAAGATACTTGGGCAGAAATCAACAGACAGAGTATTGGGAGCACATATTCTAGGACCAGTGAGTACCGTAAAACCAGAAATCCCACTAGGATTTCTGGAAAGCATTGTTACTTAGTAGATTAATTTAAAACCACCTCGTGTTTACATTCTGCGGTTATTATTTACTAGCCAAAGTTTGAATATGGCTTCTTCATGCATCGTTTCTAGCACTGACATTCTTGCCCATCGTATCATCTGCATTCCATGCTGCAACTAAGATTATCCCTTTAAAACATACACCAGGCCATTTGCCTGCTTAAAACTCTCTAGTGGTCCTTTCTGCTATAGACTTATATAAAAGGCCCCACTGAATTTGGCCCTGGTTACTTTTCTGACCTCATCTCTTTCCACTCGTCCCCTTTGCTCATTAATTCCCTGTCTCATGGGCCTTCTCTCAATTTCTTCATAAGCTGAGCTTGTTCCCATTTTAAAGCCTTTGTTCTAGAATCCTCTGCCTTCATATCTTTGCATGACTGGCTTATTATTCAGGTCTTAGCTCAGATGTTACCTTCTAAGAGAAGCCTTTCCTGCCACTGCACATGAGGTATGCCCTCCCCTAGGTATCTGGTGCATCAGTAATGATACTAGAACATTTGAGTGCTTACTCTGTACCAGTTTTTCCTAGATGCATGCATCAGCTTTAGTTTCCATGAGCCTGTGAGGTAGGTGGTGGTGTTCCCATTTTTGAGGTGAATAAATGGGCCAAAGCACAGAGTCAGTGAGTGGTTAGGGCCGTAAGTGGTAGGAGTTGAATCCAGGCCATCTCGCTTCAGCCCAGGCTCTTAATTTCTGAACTGCTTTTTTTTTCTGTTAAGGTTTTTCTGACTGGAGGCAATTAACTGTTCTAATCTCTTGTATTAGAAGGTAGTTGTTTTTGCCATAGAAACAAAATTACTTCTTGGTTTATTATTTTAAAGGGTGCTGGTGAAATGATAAATGAAGCTGCTCTTGCACTGGAATATGGAGCATCCTGTGAAGATATAGCTAGAGTCTGTCATGCACATCCGGTAACAACATACGCAATTAATGGCTATCCCAAGTTTCTTCTGATTCACACATACTTGGTTTTTAATTCTAAATTTCTTCCCTTTGCAGACCTTATCAGAAGCTTTTAGAGAAGCAAACCTGGCTGCATCATTTGGGAAATCGATAAACTTTTAAATTAGAAGATTATATTTTTCTGCAATTTCCTGGGAGCTTTTATAGAGGTAACATTTCTGAACAGGAAATGCTCACAGCTCCAAGAATTTCTAGGACTGAATTATGAAACTTTTGGAAGGTATTTAATAGGTTTGGACAGAATGGAATAATCTCATATCTAGATTTTAAATAAATTTAATATTTTATTTCACTGCGTTAATACTGCAGAAAAAAAGCTACTTATAGTAGCATCCTGGAAAATTTTCTTCAACCCATATTTTCATGCTGTTTATGAAAGGCTCAACTTCACTGAATTTATGCTAAGTAGCTTTTATCTCTGATACAGGATTTACTTACATGGATGGAGCTGGAGTATGGTATGTGAACAGCTGTGTTTGAAACAAGGTGATCAAGTTATTTTAAACTTGGTTTTCACATTGGAAACAGTCATTAGGATAAGTTAAACATGTATATACTGAACTGATGTAAATAAAAAATGATGGTCTATCAGTTATCTTAATCCCCAAAGTCTTGGTGGTTAGAGGTAGAATTTGTGTTTAGATTTTTAAGGTTCTAGCGAGGTCTGCAGTCTGAAGTATAGTTATATAGTTGACCAGAGTAAGGCAGTATATATACGAAATTCATATATTAAGTGGAGAAGCAATGTATTACAGTGGGAAATTAAGATATGGAAATAAACATGTCTTAAATATTCATTTACTGGTTATTCTGAGTGGATGTCAAGATGGTCCTAGATTTTTTATGACTACCTCTACCATACATTCTTGTTTATTACTCTTTATTATTGCTTTTATAGGCCTGGATAGATCTTTTTTTCCCACACTGTAGGACAGTATTAAGGTATTTAAAAGGTCATTATCCTTTCATCTGTTCTAGTGATGCCAGTAAATGTTTAGCATTTATTTTTAGAGAAACAACATAAGGGAATCTTTAATCTGTTGTCTTTTCTTAAGTGGATTGCCAGTGTATCCTGGCTGGGTAAAATCGACTATTTCTTTAAAGAGTGCTATAAAATTATATTTATTGATAAATATTTAAAATGGCTGTTTCTTAAAACAAATAACAAAGTGTTGAATACTAAGTAGACTTTATTATAACTAAATTTAAGAATCATTTCAGATTCATTCATATTTGATATAGCATAGATTTCTAAAGAAAGTAAATTAAGGAACTGAAATATACAAACCAGATATTCACTTGATTGCAATTTAAAGGTTATATATCGTCCTAAGGAAAGTTTGGAGAATGTAATTTATGAGCAGAAAGCTGTATGGAATAAGAAATCATCAGTTGATCCATAGATAAAAGGAAAATGTTTTGTAGCCTTCAGGTTTTTATTGATTTATATGTAGGTCACATTTTCCTTTTACTTCGCAGGTCCAGTGCTCTTGAATTGTATTATGGTCATTATAAATGGATGCATTGTAAAGACTGGAATCTGTTACATACCTCTGAAAATTTTTGAATATTTTAGTGGGCAGTTAACTTGGTTAAACTCCAAACTGTTGTCTTTGTGCGTGCGTGCGTGTGTGTGTAGGGGGAGGGTGGGTGGACAGCTGAAATATCTACGCAGTTGTTTTAGCTTTACCTGGGCTATCTGAAGTTTGTGCCATGCACGTAAGGTTCACAGGTCAGCTAGAGATTGGACAAGGGATATGCAGAATTTATACCTCTTTTCTGGGGTTCCTCCCCTCATATTTCAGTTGCTCTTGGTTACCCCAAACTCTGTCCTCTGATTCCTTAACCAGTAAAACTTGGCTTCTCTTCAAGTTGCCACTTGGGTCCTCCCCTCGGTGAAAAGCTATTAAAAATGGAAATCTCACGCAAGGCTGTTATTTGAGTATAACGCGCACCCCCCCTTCTGCCTACTTCTGGTTGTTGTCCAGTACTTTTACTTTTTTTTTTTTTTTTTTTTTTTGCAGTACCTGGGCCTCTCACTGTTGTGGCCTCTCCCACTGCGGAGCACAGGCTCCGGACACGCAGGCCCAGTGGCCATGGCCCACGGGCCCAGCCGCTCCGCGGCATGTGGGATCCTC